CAGGTCTCTTATTTGCTCTGCAAGTCTGACATTTGACAACGTGCCAGGCCTGAAGATAGGCAGCAGTTGTGCATGTCCTCCTGAGACTGTTTCAGTGATTATTAGGAAGTAAGTCATTGTGAAATTGTCTTTTCCAAGGGCAGTGACTGACCTCAGTAGCGCAATATAAAGAAAGCCCTATGGCTTGGCTATCAAGAGGAGCATAAACACTCCAGATGGATTTTCTCACCATCCCCAAAATGGCAAAAGACAGACACTTCTAGAAATCTTGGCTTCCTCACACCGCTTAACCATGTGCAATGGTGGACCTCCAGGTGACCTAATTCTTCCTCCACATGTCTGGTCCTCATGCCAGAGGTGAGGGAGAGGGCTTAACAGGCAAGCTTGTTTGCAGTAAGTAACAGGAAAGTACAGTTTGGCCACAGTGGGCTAGGTGTGATCCCAGAAGGAATGCCTGTGTTTGGTCAGCCAGGCCTGAATCTTCTAGGGAAATATGAATTTGGGGAAAATAGATCAGAACCCACCTGTTAGCAAATGGGAAATTGGTTTGAATGTTGAGAAAATACATGTTTTTATTGTTATCAGTGGTTTCTTTATCATCCCCACCCAAAACTACCCCACTGACACTCCCTATCACCCCCACACCGCCAAGTCAGAGAGCAATCTTGTTCCCCTATCATAGTTTTCTCCACTTAGAATAGGCTGAATCTGGCAATAGGACATAGCGATCCAACTAGGTCCAAAAGGTCTCATAATGTGTGGAGAGAAACCAAATACAGAAAAGTTACTTCCAATTAACACCTCTAATCTCCAGATGTCCTAATAAAAATGGTGAGGCAGCCAATGGCCACCCTTGAGCCAGAGCATCATACTTGGACTCAATGTTTTCAAGAGCGAGGCAAAGCATCGACCTCTTCTTAACTTGATCTCTCGGTCTGGGACACATAAATGTTTAATACAACTCTGGCTTAGGGAAGAAAGCAAGCAGAGGTGAACATATCCTGTAATGGCATGGCTTCAAGAGATCTCTCATCACCCCCGGAGGCATGAAAGAACACCACCTGCCTCCTCAAGCTGAGCAGAATCTATGTGCTCAGAATCTATGAACTTGTTTGGAGTATGATGTGCATCTGGGGCCTGAGCCAGGCATTATCATCGGAAAAAGGTGGATGGTTTCCCTCTCCCTCGCCCCTGCTTTTCCTATTGCTGATTGTACTGTTCAGAAGTGAATTATGATTTAATCCCTTCTGCTGTTAAGAGTATTACAAAATGTTGGTTGCAATGAAGTAATAAAAAATATTTAAGAAAGAAAGATGGATAGATAATGTTACAGCAAAAGACAAAACTCATCCTTACCACCAGCAGAAGAAGGATAGGCATGGAGAAATCCTTGCCTGCACACCAAACCAAACGCAGCTCATGAACTTAGACCATTTCTATATATAGGCAACGTGGCATGTGCTTTTACAATCATGCAGTGTGGAAAGCAGTGCATCACGGGAGAAAAGATAGTTCTAGTCACATGCTTCTGAATTTTTAATCTTAGGGTCATCAGCTCAGGGCCAGGTTACCACAAAGTGCTCAATGATCCGTGGGAAATGAATCATGTCTTCATTCCAGGGCTTAATATATGCATTACATCACTATTAGAAGCAAGCAACTCTTTGGTCGATGGCTCCAACTTGGATTAAGGTCAAAAGTGGCCCTGGAGACCAAATTCCCTAGCGAGGAATTGCCACACAACACTGTGTGTCCTTTCCTTCTCAATTTTTTCTTCTCCTAGCAGCAACTAACCACCAGTTTTCCAAGTTAGCATTATGTCTACATAACGTTTATTCTTGCAGCAAAGAACTGGAGAGATACAAGTGAGAATTTGTTATTACAGGTTAAATTGTGTTACACCCAACTGGTGGTAGGGGTCCAGTTTCTTTTTATTGTACTCCAATTTTGTTGTAATGACTATTGTCTAAAATAAATGGGCTATCGACAGGGGCTTAGAGATAACAGGGATGCTTAAGTGGTTTTTATAGTAGCAGTATTTGTTGTAACAGAATTTGACCTGTATTCCGGTTATTAGTTTTATTCATCACATTGGAAACTTGGCACTTCCATTGTTCATGCCATTATATGCAAAGCACTGTAGCATGAAAGTCACTTACAGAGCCATGGAAAAACCCCTCTGAACACAAGAGGCTCATGGAACAATAAAACCTCAGCTAGGGGGTATATATTGTTTTATTTAGCTAAATGTTCTGGATAGTCAGAAGTTTATTCCTTTTAATTCCTGAGAGGTTGTTTTTTGTTGTTTTGGGTTTTTTTTTTTTTTTTGCCATCTGTGACATATTTCTTGACTTCTGAGCATAATCTGGTTTGTGTGACAGTCAGGGTCACCAGTTTGAATTATATTCTCCTACGATACAGTGAAGTCTTAGGAATTTCTGTGCACAGAGCCATTTGTGGCACTAAATACTCCCCTAAAACAGGGCTTTTGAAGCTTTTCAGTACACTCAAAAATTTTCTCTATTGCTGTCACTTCGTTCTCTTCTCCCTTAATCTGCTGTAGGCTTAGAAACCAATCATTTAGAAATATGAATTAAGAACAAATAGGTTCTGAGTGGGTGCTTGATGGGTAGATGTATGGCCTTTCTCTTATGTGTTTGCTTCATGGTATTTATTTCAATTGGTCAGAAGCCTTGTTTGCTTACTTCCTAGTTACCATTTTTGAATGGGTTGAACAGAGGTTCCCAGTTTTTCCAGTTCTGTCTCAATTACTCATTATCAAACCACTAGTTTGACTTTTGTGTTTTGCAAGTGTGGATGGATGAAGCTGTCAGATGGCTGAGCCCAGGTAAATGAGCTGCTACTGAATCCTAAAATGGTGGGATGGTTGTGGGCCATTTTTATGAGGCAAATGGTATATACTGTGGCCATGATGGCTAAACTCAGTAAATGAACTTTAAAATAGATAAACTCTTTTGCCTTCCCTTTCCAAGAATATAAAGCTGGCCTAATGTCAAGCTGTTGGAGACGCCCTCAAGATGTTTAATTAAATTACAGACTCAGTGGCAGAGCTGGCTGACTTTTGGGATTCCAAGACCACACAGCAAAAGAAGATCCGGCTTTGCTCTCTTGTTGATTTCATTATTTATGGCTTGGAACAAAGAAGATAAAGCAAGTTTAATAGTCTTCTCCTTCCAAAAGTGCAGTTTCAGGCTAGAAGAGGATTTCACTGCTATCCTTAGGCCCCCTTCCCTCTCTGTATGCTGCATTTTCCAGGCTATACAAAGCAAGACCCATTCTGCAAAGGGCAAATTCCCTTGCCCCAAAGCCATACTGTATGCATGTGTGGGGTAGGGGCTATGAGGGGAGGCAGTGATGTTATTCACAATACAAGGTAGTGCAGCTAGGAAAAGAGAGATTAAGAGCAGAGGTTGTAAAGTCTGGTACACCTGGGTTTAAGTCCAGGCTTCCCACTTACTAGGGTGTAACCTCGGTCACAGTACTTAATTCTCTAAGTCTGATTCCTGTGCAATAAACTGGGGGATGATAGTATTGGTGCTGTGAGAATTAAATAAGATAATGTGAAAAGCAACCAGAATGCCTGGCCCAGAGAAAGAGCTCACTAAATGGTTAGCTCTTACTGTTAACAAAAATGAATGATACAAACCTAGACATCGCAGTATTTAACAAGCACAGACACTCAGTGCAGCCAGTTATTAACTTTAAGCAGTCTTTTTTTGTTCCTGTTTCTGTGACATCTTTTTCTTTGAGTATGACCGGCAGCCTGACTTTGCATTGGGTGTCTCTAACTCTGGTGCCTTAAGGCCAGGAGATATTCTAGACAAGCTGCAATTTCACCCTTTTAGAGAATAAAGGAAATGGGGCCATGTGTAAGTGGACAAGTATCAATAAAACAAAATAAACAGTTAATAGCTTTCAGAGGGAAAGGTAATGAGAAGGGCTGAGGCAATGGGATGTGGTGTCGAGATACTGGCACCAGGACGGAGGGAAGAAAACCTCCAAACACATTGTGGTTTGTTAAAACACTGAAGACTCCCAAGTGCTATGGTCGTTGGCAATGCCAGCCCACCAGGCAGAAGTAGTGTCCTCAGCAACCGGGAAGAGGAAGTAGAGCCTAATGATTGCTACAGGAGACAGAGAGTCTGCTGTCCTGGGCTTTACCAGCCAGGCTTATTGGGTGACCTTGAGTGACTCCCTACATTGGACAGTTTCCCCAAAGTTCTCAGTCCCCAGCCAACTGAAGAGTCTGATGAAAAATAATTTAAAAGGAAATTTAGAGCAGGGTTCACAGACTGTAGCCCCTCCAGACACACCTGCTAGTGGGTTTCAGGATTTTTAAACATTCAATTTTAATGCCTTAACATTTTCTAATTTACACAATATTTACCATCTTGGGTCTTCATGTTTGGCTCCTGAAGGCCTCCAAGTATATGACTGCTGGTTTCAATGCAACCTCCGGTCCTAATACTACAAACCGGATTGGAATTGCTTCATTTACAACTTAATTCTATCTCTTCATCAATTATACGCAAATATGTATTTCTAAAGTTCCACAAAGATGATTCTTCTGGCCTAACTGTAATCTGCTCTATAAAGATTTTTTTCTAGGAAATATGATAAAAAATAAAATTTGATCTTCCTTCTAGTTAATCCAAATTCTAAAGCTTTAATGTTATTTGAAAACATCATTCAAGACCAAGTATTCCTTGGGTTATAATCTACTTTGCTCATAAAATTTAACTTAGTCATGGATCATTTTACTTTGAGGAGAAAACATGTCTCTAAATAATGATCTTAAGTCTGTCCTTTTGCCACTTCCTAGAGATCTCCTAAGGTACTCTGGGGAAGTTGGGAGTAAATTATACTCACATCTAATAACCAAAACACCATCGCCTGCAGCATTACCGCAGTTAAGTATGCAGATCGTCATGAATATTTACACCTAGCAGGGTCCTTTGTGCACAACTCTGAGAGACAAATGGTATTTCCAGTAATAGTTTATTGATTTCCAAATGCACAGGGGCGCCAAGTCCGAACATCCTGGGATAGCAGTAAATCTCTCTTACAAAATAATTTACAGTATGAAAATGATATACTGAAACATTAACTCAAACGTGTAATTCCCTTGAAAGATTGAGTGTTCCCTTGTTTAATGTAAAGGGTGGAAGGGGAAGATGACTAAGGAGGGAATGTGACTGCGCACAAGAAACCAGGCAGAGGACGATGAGTTCACTGGTTCTCCCCACTCATGCAGTGTGGCCCGTCGCTGTGGAAAGACTGGTCAGGTTTAACTCCCATCAAGTATAAATCTGCTGTCCTCTCAAGGTCGTATCAAGCCCAGCATGGGCTCTGCGGCTTTTTTTTTTGTTTTTTTTGCACCAATGTACCGAGAAGTGTCTTTGTTGTTTTCATTCTGCTTTGGCCCTTGTTGTGCTGTTTCTGGTATGTTCTCTGTTCCAAACTATACTGTCTTAACAGGCAGGCCTTCGGAGGCAGGAACCGCCTGGGTCTTACGGCTGTTGGAATGGGCTAGGGTGGGGGGGTTCAGAAACACCGCAGGGTGAAGGCAGTAATAATGAGGTCTGAAGTCTCCCTATGGGCCTTCTTTTTCTCTTTAGAGCTGGGCTGAACTCAATCCATAATGAGTTTTTTTGTTTAACATAAAATTCCGGATGTGATCGGCACGCAGTAAACATGCAATTAATTTTCTTATGGAAAAGCAAGTACTGAACAGCCATTATGTGAGTGTGGAATTTCAGGAACCAGCAGGAGGGTATTTTCTAGGTGGGAAGAGAGGACTTCCTAGGCGCTGACACTACTGTAAGGTCGTGAATTCTGCAGTTGTGCCCTCAGGCCTGAATGGAGTAGTTCAGGCTCTCAGGTTACCAAAATGGCTGAGCATCTGAATTTCCCGTGTCATCAGACATCTTGGAGAAGGGATGGAGTACAATTTCCTTCAGGGCTGTCACCGTGGCTCAGTGCTTTATGAGCTGACAATCTCTGCTAGGGAGTTGCTCTTCTTGTAAGCAAGCACCTAAGCTTCAGTGATCTGGCAGCACTTAATTAGGGCTGGCAGAAACCTTTGCAGAGGTATGCAAGATGAGGAGGAGGCTGCTGTGAGTTTCCCTCACTTCTTAAATAGTTTGTGTGCACACATGTATTACATACAAAAACACATCGCATCTTCATTCATATACAGGTACACACACACCAGGAATCAGCAGGAGAGTCCAGATTCACTGAGCTATGAATCACCACATCCTCACAGAGCGCAGAACTGGTGGCTAGGTTTACTAAAAATATGAAGATTTCTTTTTCTGCAGCAGTGAAGCTGCAGACATTTTCAAATAAAGTTAGAGAGCAGATCACCCTTCACTTGTACTATTTCTGCAAAGTTCTATACTCTTAAGGCCCAAGAAACACCTTATTTATGGAAGATGGCATCAAAAATAAAAGGTTACCCCAACTCCTGGGGGCAGGCCCATATTGTTAAAGTGTACTTAAAGCATCTGCTCAAGCGGAGAAATAAGGCTACTTTCAGGTAATTTCTGAGCCCAAACTACAGCCATGAAATGTCATTTTGAAAAATAATTCATAAAGTAGGATGGTTAGGCTTCAGTGGGAGAACCTGAAGCCTCTTTATCCCTCTGTATTTTTAGGTGTACCACGGCATGGGGCAAAGAGCCTGCCCACAGAATTAAGGAGAGCTGGGTTCAAAACCTGGCTCTGGTATTTCCCACCTGTGTGACTCGAGGCAAGTGACTCTTTCACGCCACATCTGTTTTATCACCTATGAAACAGGGCTGTAATACAAGTCCTGGCTCATAGTTGGTCCTCGATACAGGTTAATTCCCTTCTTGGGCTATCAGCACTGAGACTCCAAGCACTTCCTGGGACTGCCTTGGATTTAATAATAGCAAGTCAAAGGACAAATTCCTCTCAGCATCCAGAAACCCAACAATTGAAAGGTAGCCAGGAATTGCTATGAGTGCCCGATTAGTTCTGGAGACATTCATTACCTGCCTTCCTTGGTTGACTTTTTAGGGATTTCTCCAAAGCCTGCAGCCTGCAGCCTGCAGCCAGTCAGGACACAATCCTGAGCACTCTAAATTTTACTGACCTGGCAGGAGGGAAGGCTCTTCATGTGGAGGCTGAAGGCCCAGGAGCATGCTCCGACTCTGGAGGAAGCTGATGCCACTGCAGGAAGCATCCTAGTTCTTACACTGATAAATGCTGCCGGCAGGAACATAGGCGCCTGGGCAGAAGCTGCTGCGCTGTGTTTAATGCTTCCCTGGTTAAAGTTTTATCAGGTGTCGAAGACAGCAGGAGCCCATATAGCAAATCTGAAACCCTTTCTAAGTAAAACCAAAAGTGCTTTCCTTGAGGATTACAGACAATATAATTTATTCAGACAGGTTGGCACATATTTTTATATTTCCATTTATATCCACTGCATAAATGCTTGGATTTCCCAAATACTTATTTAAAGTAATAATACATGATCAGGTATGGAGAGTCAATGATCTGTCCATTGTTAATATGAGGCTACCATTTAGAGATCAAACAATGATTACTGGGGAAAGACAACACAAGTTTCCAAATTCTAGTCTTTTAAACCTTCTGATATTTAAACTCTTTCAAGAGTGGCCATTGGTCCTTCTTTTTAGGGTAGTTTTCTTGGATATGATTGGAGGTTGTAATTAGTTGTATGCCAAATTCTCCAGTCTTTGTAGACAGACAGGTAAAGCACCAAAATTATCTTGGCCATTTCTTGGCCACCAGCGTGAGAGAAAAAGACTTTTTTCGGGTACCATCTCTAACTCCTCTCAGCCCCAATATCCTGACATACTTAGTGAGCTAGGGTAATCCTAACCTAGAAGCATATATGCCTGGTAGCTTCCTGGCCTCAAAGGAATAAATTATTTCACAGCAAGCACAGGATTGAAAAATAATATATTAAATAAATAGGACTCCTACAGTAAGCAAGTATTGTTTCTGCCTCAAAACCATCCTGCATGCACACAAATCAGCTGGCCCTAAAGCTTTGTAATAGGTACATAGGTCACAGGCACTCAGACAGACAGGAAGAGAGGGATTTCTCCCAGTGCAGGCTCCTTTTGTTCTGCTTCACAGGCATTAGAACTCTAGGCCCTGGGGCAGCAGCAACCCCAGGGCTGCCTGGATGTGGTTCCAATTGTATTTCTTAGAAGTTAATACCAAATACGAACAAAAGCAGAGAAGAGGGAACATATAGCCCACTTGTAAACGAGAATTACCTTTCAAGTCCCCTATTTTATCTTAACAGTTTATGTGTATGAACATTCTATTCCATAACTGTGTTTGTTTTATATAAAAATAAGGTCATCCCCTGACTCCAAACCATTTTTTAAGTAAAACTGATGCTTCAGGAAGATGCAAAGTTTTAAGCTTGCAGTTTTGTATCCCCCTAGCACATCACTACTTAATTGGGAGTAAAAACCTTGGTTGTAAAAAATTGTGATTTGGGACTGGAAAAAGGGAAGGAAGTCTAACTTCAGGTGTGTCTCGTGTTACTTAATAGAGAGCCGGGGTGTGGGGATGATCTGAAGGTCTGTGGGTGAGGAGTGCCATAGGAAGAAGGGTTCCAGGAGGATATCTATCTGCTGGGAGGAGGAGCCGAATTCAGCACACCACATACAGAGCAGCAAGAATCCTCCCCACACTGCATCTAAGCCAAGTTAGGCTAAAATGGGGGTGGGACCAGCAAAAACCTACACTGAACATTCCCATTTGGTGGGAATATATTTCAGCCCTTCATGTTGTGAAAAGCCCATAAATCCTACAGAAAAATTCATCCAAATAATTCAGTTTCTATTACATCCTTTAGTGACTATTTTGGAAACTCAGGCAATTTGAATTTAGAAATACTGATTTCAACTTTTAATCAGATTTCTTTGGTCCTGTTTTTTTTTCCTAAGGTCATTTCCTTTCCACCTCTTCAATCATGTTTTCATTTCCACAGCACTGAATTATGAATCTGAAGTCCTGGATAACCTCATACACTAAAAATAGCTTTATCTTCCTAATTTTTAACTATTTCTCCAACGCTGTTTTCAAGTCATCCATCATTTTCACAAATGTAGAACTGGACTTTTAGAGACTTTCTACATGAGTCAATGCGGCCCTACCTTGCCATCATTTATTTCATGCTTCAATATGAACAAAGTGGGGTTTTTGTTAGCAGGTAGGGAAAAAACTCTGACTTCCCTTCAAGATTATTCCAGATCCTTCCCAAGGAAGCAATAGTTTGGTTAGACAATATCACAGGGGTTGGCTTTCCTGAGCAAGTTCGAAGCAGCCACTGAAGAATTGCCTGAAGGGCCTTTCCTTATTGCTCCTTGTTGATCAAAGGGGCTCTTTTCCTTGACCTAACACAACAAGAGAATGAGAAGCACAGTCAGTGAGCATAAAACTGGTCCTCTGTTGGAGAGATATATGTGCCTGCTGTGGGTCTGGGGACATATCCGGTGGAAGTACATTTGTTGCTGAGCAGCTTTCACAGAAATCAGAAGCCGTAACAATACACGCTGTCACATACACACAGGAGAGGGGATGATTTTCCACTGGGGACGCCATGCCTTCATGTGTCCTCTTCTTCACTGGCACCACTACAAAGGAAAAGGAGAAGCAGGTGAGTTGAGACGTCACAGGAAGGGAGGCAGCATAGCCTACTGGTTGATGACACAGGCTTTGTTGTCAGACGTACCTGGATTCTAGTCTTAACTACCATAATTGAGCAGTGTCGCCATGAGCAAGTTACTTAATTTCTCAAAGTTCTGATTTCTTTATCTGACTACAGTAAGAACGATGATAATAAAACTTACTTTCCTGGGTTACTGCAGGATTAAATAAGAGAGAATACATGTAAAATGCCTGGTATACAGTAAGTGAATATTTATTTAAAGGAGCTGAGGGTCATATTATTATTATTTTTTTAACTGACAAAATAAATTGCTGGTAAAAATCAGGAGTTTGATTTCCCCTAAGCCTTAAGCCATCTATTGTTACGAAAGAAAAATAAGGAGAAGCTGTCATCTTCAATCCTAACGGCACTTTGGAATAAAAGCCAAGGTTTCAATTCATGCCACAGGGATAGTTTAAATGTCACCTCTTCAGAGAAGGTACTCTACCTCAGTAGGACTCCATGGTTATTCTCTATCTTCCTTCTTTCATAGCCCTCATCACGTTTTATAATTTCTTTGTTTGCTATTTACTCTCTACTCCTGACTAGAGCAAATAAGAGTAGTGACACTATTTTATTAACTGTGTATAGCTACAACTATTTCATTATCTATGTACTGTGCTAGGCACACAGTAGTGCTCAATAAAAAGTTGTTTTTAAAAAAGGATTGAAATAGGCTGGTGCAGTGGCTCATGCCTGTAATCCTAGCTCTCTGGGAGGCTGAGGCAGGAGGATTGTTTGAGCTCAGGAGTTCAAGACCAGCCTGAGCAAGAGTGAGGCCCTGTTTCTACTAAAAATAGAAAAATTAGCTGGGCATCATGGCATGTACCTGTAGTCCCCGTTACTTGGGAGGCTGAGGCAGCAGGATCACTTGAGCCCAGGAGTTTGAGGTTGCTGTGAGCTATGATGATGCCACTGCACTCTACCCAGGATGACAGAGCAAGACTCTGTCTCCCAAAACAAACAACAACAACAAATAAATAAATAAATAAATGAAAAATAGGAACTGAAATAAAAACAACATGAAGAGAGGGAAGGAGGGATAGATGCAGTTGAAAAGAATGGTCAGTCATTATTGCCCTGATCAGGGTATTTCAGATGTCAGTGGCCAAAAAAATCAGTTGTAGTACACCAGAGGCACGGCTAGTACCTCAGTTGCTCAGAATTATAGCATCTCAGGCTTGGTCCTGGGAGAGAACACTGTCAGTACAGGGATCAGGGCAAGGAGAAGGCAGAGCCCTAAAAAGAAAGGTGGCACACTTAGAAGGACAAAAGTCACAAACTTGCTTAGTTTCTCGTCATCTGCTTCTAGAGGTCACTGTCCTTAAAATAATAACAAGAGCCAACTTGATCAAGTGCTTATAGGGACTACTATCATCCCCATTTCCCAGATGAAGATAGGGAAGCTCTGAGCAGATGTAAAATCCAGGATCACATAGTAAGGTCTGTGTTCTTAAAACTCCAAGTTTAGTTTTGGTTGGATAAAGTCTGAAGTAGTCGTGCTGGTGGAGAAGGAAAAGGCATGTGGAACATCAGCTCCCAGCTATGACCTAGAGATTTTTCATCTCATGAAGGATTATCTATGTCTACATAAAAACTGTGTTCTTTTGCATCCATTTGGGAAAGGTTTCAAGAGAAAATATCCCAGGCAACAGATTTTTAGAACTTCTGTTAAGGGTGAAAACATTTCAAGACACAGGGTCTGCAAATTGAGGTAAGTGTACTCCAGGAGCCAAGAGAACCTACTCAGTAATCTTCACCACCCCAAACTCTGCCCTATTTTTACCCCCTTTTCCTGCTGGCTGTCTAATCATGTGATGAGGGTGCACACTAGGAAGGGCTAGACAGTGGACTGTCATTAAGGAGAACTATTTGGTGGCATCTGTCCCAAAGGGAACAAAGGATGTGTTATGAAAGCTTCTCATCAGAATCAAGGCAGAGTTGGAACTGGCGCCATATTATCCCCATTGACACTATATCCAAAGCAAGCTCTCATTGTTCTCTTGTCAGTTTACTTCAAATATGAGAGAGCTAGCATATGACTGTGCCCTTTCCTTAACCTGTTGTTCACTTTTTAACATTTTTAACTTGAGATACATAGTTTAAAGGGTTCATGAACCTACTGAAATTGTATACAAAAGTTTATCTGTGTATTCTTTTGTCTGAGAATTTTCATCATATTCTCAAAGAGGTCAACAACCCCCCAAAATTGAGAATAATCAAATTATAAATAAATTCTTTTCCACTTGCCAGGTCTTTATTATGAGACTTGGAGAGTGGCTGGGGAAAAGGACAAAGTCCTGACTGATAAATTCTTTTCTCATTACCCTAAAAGAGACCTGTCCCTGGGCCTGAAAGATATAGTTTAAAACATAAGATGTTGAGATTCTGGCCTATCATTTATTGATTCCTTCATTTGCTAAATATTTGCTGTCTACCATGTGTCAGTCATGATGCTAGTCATAATAATGAATAAGATGGACACAGTCATTGCCCTCATGGGCTTTACAGCCTAGTAGGTGAGACAGACAGAAAGGGGCGGTGAGTGGTGGGTGGGAGTCGGGAAGGGAGAGAGAACTTTTTTTTCCCCAGAATCACATCTTCAAAGAAAGAATCTTACTTTTATAATCAATAGCACGTTTTTCACAATAACGAAGAAAAAGGATCTGAACTGAATCTGTAAGATAAAGCTTTGCTCACCTCATGTGTAGGTCTCTGCTGGAGGGTAAACCCAACAGTATAATCAGTGTGAGGCATCATCTCTTCTCCTGAATACTCATTATTCACTTTGTATGTAAGATAGTCTGTGTTCATGAGATTTTATCTTACATAGTCTATAAAAGTCGGCGTTTTCTCCAAAGTAAGTAATATAGCCTTCCACCTCAGCCACTTATCATACTCCTCTGAAACATCTATCGGTCACGCTCAGATTTATAACTGAGTGGGACTTAGAGGTTAATGTCTATTTTTTTTTTCTTAATGAACTATGGGTGTTAGGCAGACAGTCCATTCTATAGCAGATACTTACCAATGAGACAAGCAGCATTACATAATGGCTTTTCAGTCATCAGACTGAACTAGGTTCAAATCCCTATTACGGCATTAATAAACTGTGAGACCTTGGGTGAGTTTCTGAACCTTTCTGAAACTCAGTTTCCTCATGGTAGTACTATCTATCTCACGGGGTTACTATGAAAGCTTTATGTATTTTATGCATTATAAGTCATAAAAAAATGTTGGCCCCCTTCCTCTATCCACCTTCCTTCTTATTCTGAATCAAAACCTGCCTCCTCCTAACTTTCCTTCAACATTCCTAGTTCTGGCATCTGAAATATTACATTCCAGAACGAGTGTGCTCTTATCCCCAAATACCCTTCAAATATTTGGAGAGCAACTGTATCCTGCTTTGCTCACTTGGAAAGTTTTTTTAATGCCAACTCCAGACCTGATGAAATACAGGTATTCAATAGAAAGGCTGAGGTCCATGGCTCTGACCCTTCTACATGGCAGGTCTCTAGAAAAGTCATTCCCTGCCAAACTCTAATGAGGACGAATACTGAGTAAAGTTTAGTTACCCAGCCTGCACTCAGTCACTGACTGATCTAGTCTGAGGGTACTGCTGTATCTAAAAGTGGTAGTTTTAAAAATGGAGTACACATATCCTGTGGTACATAACAATTTCCAGGGAGTATTTGGGCACAGATAGTTTTAAGGAAATAAATGTCTAAACCCTTAACTTCTTTCCTAAAACTGACCTTTCCAAGAAGATGCCTATAGTCTATAGGTTCTCATTTCAGCCACCCCCACTTTGCAAATCACCTTACTCCCACTTCAGAAAAGAAATGCATACCTCTCACCTTCCTGAATCTTACCCCACAATAATTTCAGAATGTCTCACTTCTAAGAGGAGTCCTATGAGAGAAAGGCAGGAAATAGTAAAGGAAAGAATCTCTTATTTCGTCCAGGCAATAAGCTCTTGGCAAGGTTGTGTGCTTCATTTATCTGTCCATTGATCTATGAATTCAAATTCAGAAGTGAGACAGTTGTCATGAGGTGTGTACTAATATGTTTATTTGAATTGAAAAAAATGAAATCAGACTTGATCTGACAGAAAGCAAGTCTGATTTGGCTGGATGGTTTGACCGCAGCACTGGCTTTGCCAATTAGATTATACAGAGTACCTTGCCTATAAATTTAATAAGCTAAATCTGCAGTGCCAAAGTTTTGAAGAAAGCATACATAAAAACTCACATAAACTACACAATATGTCAGCAATCACATCCTTAGCAACTATCTAAACTTGATATATGAATTCAGAAGTTAACTTAAATACAAGCAAGGAGGCAACATACTTTTTTCTATTCTTTTAGGGAATATAAAACCAAAAAGTTAAACTCAAGGAACTGGGACCTCCTAAATTCTGACTAAGAGGGTATGAGATTTCACACCTCTCTGGTTGGGGTGACAGAATGGGATTAATGTGTCCCAGCCAGCAGAACACTGTATCCTCTCTCTGACTGGGCACACTGATGAGGTATTCTTTTTGTCTGGCTATGGTGCCTATGAAATGGGAGAGTAGTCAGAGGACAGACACCATAAGCCCCAGTCACATTCAGCCCCTATGCACCTGCTGATAAAGTGATTATGATAGGGAAGTGTTTTACTGCCTGACAATATTTTAGTCTGTATAGATAGGCAGCTCAGCTTTTCAGCTTCTGTCCCCAGAGCTACAGGGGTTGTAAGAGGAAGTCAGTACATGAGATGGCAGGCATTCTGACTTTTCAAGTTTAATCATTTCTTTTCCTAAGCATATAATACAACTTAATTTGATTTGGTATCACTCATGTCTGCTGAGTTCTTGGCTATTTATTAATTAATTATTGTTATAAAAGGATTAGTCAACTCAGGAGGATAGAGAAATTTAGA